AAACTAGACTTTTTGGAAATATAATATGACAAATGTTCATTGGGGATGGGTATTGTCTCTAATATACAACACCAGATGTTCCTGGCACATTTGTTTCAAAATATAAAAATAATTAGATATATATTCTATGAACATGGGGCAATTTTGACAAGTTGCAACCAAGTAACTTTGCTAAACACCTGAAAAAGTAAAATTGGGACCCCCCCCCCCNAGACTGGTTGATAGAGTGAGTCTTAATTCATTTATAGACATAATGTCAACTGCATAAGTTACATATCATCTATCCCGAAACTTGGCTGAAGAGTCTAAGGACAAGAATGAGAACACCTACCAAGAGAGCTAGCCTCCATCCCAGAATTTAAAATTATGACCTACCAGATATAGAGTGCAAATTACTCAATGGTAACATTCATCTGGACAAATTGGAACCCTACCCTTATGTTTTAAATTAATTTGCAGACTTGACTAAAAGTAGACACATATATCAAACTTCTCTGAATTAAATATCTGATTATTCCTGAACTTTGACATACAGCCAACTCTCGATTATCCGGGATAATGGTGGGGATGGAAATCACGATTAATTGAAAACCCGGTTAAGACAAATTTTATTAAAAGTAGTACTGTAATACTGTACCTTCATAATACTATAGGCCTACCTATATTTAAATTTATTCAACCTCATTTTTATGTCATCTCATGGCCTATTTAATACTTTTTTTACATTACACTGAAGTATGAATTAGTTATTTCAATCACAGTCTTCAACAACATCCAACACTTTTTACGAATATTCACACTTAAAAAAATTTAATATTGTTGTTTACTTTTTCGCAGCATTTTCCTTTTTCTGTTGAATACTTAACAGAACACGCTTCCTTTTACACCCTGACATTTTGCTAACGCACTTGAAGATCGATACAAAGATACTAACTGGGACGATGTATCTGTCCTTGAAACTTTCCACAAATCCTTGCATTCTTTCACCCCTACCCTAGAACATTGTGTTAGCATAACGGGACCAAAGAATGCAGAGCTCGGTTCACACTAGTGTGAAAATAGTGTTATAACTCGCCATGTGAAACAAAAGTGAATGAATATTAAACAACATATAAGCCTCAAAAAAGCCTCAGTAGCCCCGGTTAAGCCACAAACTGGTTAATCCGTCCCCGGATAATCAAGAGTTGACTGTATTTTATACTACAAATATCTCACTTAAAGTAAAATTACAACTTCTTACTAGTGACACTAAGCTTCAATTTCTGACATTTGAAATCATACCCTGGTTTGTAGTTTCCAATAGAATGAACTACATTAAGCAATTAGTATTAAAATGTGCTGTTTGGAAGACAAAATTAATTTGTTCAAGATGTTAAAAATACTCTAACGGTGTGTGCCTTATGCTGCATATATGAACATTTCTGTCCCTTCTATTGAGGGAAGATTTACTACATTAAACTAGCCAGCTGAGCTGATATAAAAATATCACAGTGATTCTTGCAACATCTACTTTCATTAAGGCTTGATTTTTTTATAAAAAATGTTCATATGTAAATTGAACAGTTAAACATAATGCAAGTAATGTCACAATTCTAGAGTTAAAATACTGATAATCTTGGTAAAACAAAAGAAAAATCAAATACAAGATCGTTTCCTGTTAAATTAACATAGATTCACTAAGATAAAACAAGTTATAATATGTAAGTAGCTGATATTTTGTTCTATCATTATAATACAGATAATTATTTACCATCAGCTGTTTGTATTTCTAATTTATGACTTTCATTAGTTTTCTAAATGACTGCATGCTGATCCTCTATCATGACCACATGCAACAAAATGCCAAGCATCCTCAGTCTCTTCACTTTTTACAGTCATTACCTACATATTATGCAAAATAATTTACACCATAAAATGATAAAGCAGGACTTTCATGTCACATACATATAAAAATATGACTAAGCTCTAGTGCTGACAAGTACTTTAAACTTGAATTTTATCAGAGCTGTGAAGCTGTACATTGAAGTGAATTATGATCACAGTTTATAATACGCTTCCTGAATCATACTTTTTCACATATATAAAATGTAAAAAAGAAAAAATCACTGTAATCTGAAATATGACACCCGTACAGTTGCTCTCTCCATAGTGAAGATATAATTACTAATCTTGTATTACTACAGGACCATTAACCTTTCAAGCATGCATGATTCCCCCTTGAAATGTGGTCATGTGCCTTCTACAATCATGTTCATAACGGCCTCCAATATGTGCAGAAGAGTTCCTAATAACAGAAGCACTGCATGTAATGTAGCACATCTTGGCCATTTTATGTATGAGTATCAAGTAACTAGAATAAATGCCATGTTAGTATAATATGGTATCAAAGTTTGCTTGGATATTGAATTTTACCACTTTGCGGACTGGACGCATGATATTGTAACATGTTGCGCAACGGAGAACCCCTCCCTACCCAGCAGCAACGTGGCAACTCAGGCCACAGACGCGTAGCGGTAACGTAGCGCTCCCTCCCACCCCTCCGCGGTGACGTAACGCGCAACGCTACGTACCCGTAATCAACTTCCTACTGTGACGTGGACCGCAACAGGCACCACTGCGGCTATATAAGGAAACTGCACAGCAGCTACCAGTTAGTTGTAACCTGGCCATCGCCGAAGACAGTTCCGAGTTGTACTGTGACAGCCGCCGAGTTATAAAGTAACAGTCGCCGAGTCGAGTTGACATATAGCAGCAGCCGCCGAGTTATAACGTGGCCATCGCCGAAGATAGTTCCGAGCAAGCCTACGAGCGAGTGTGTTATCAACAGTTCTCCAGTCAGCCGACTACAAGTTGGAGTATAGCAGCCGTCGCAGATAGAAGAACTGGACGTGTGTGTGATTGTGTAATTGGGAGTGTGTGATACAGTGATACATAGCTCCTGTACTGTAAACGTGTAGACTACTGAAGACAGAGTGAAATGATTTGCGATTAGGGTTATGAAGTATGAAACCCCGCAACTGTGTGATAAGTAATTGTAGCCGTTATTTGTAGATGGTTAAATAAACCAATTAACCATCTCTACGGTGTCTTCAGTAACGTAAACACGTTACACTGGTGTCAGAAGTGGGATCTGAACTTACACACGTGACCAATGAGATTCAAACTCAAAACATGTTACACTGGTGTCAGAAGTGGGATCTGAACTTACACACGTGACCAATGAGATTCAAACTCAAAACATGTTACACTGGTGTCAGAAGTGGGATCTGAACTTACACACGTGACCAACGAGATTCGAACTCAAAACACGTTACAATATCATACTTTTTGCTTTTAAACATGGCGGACCAGTCGCATGATATCATGATTTTAGGACACATTAGGTTGTAACACACTATACCTTGCTCTGCCGCCATGCAACTGCAATGAATACTGCAAAACAAATCTTCGGAATGTATGCTAGGTATTCAGTAACTTGACCTGGCTGGCTAGGGTCCCTACTCCAAAAGAAAATAAACTTTGTCCCTTCCAGCTGTTTATGTACCAGGCAGGAAGTTAGTAGAGGCGAATATGTTTCAAGGACAAAAGCGGTTGAAGGCAAAGTGATCTCTCTGACTTGTTCTCCGATGAGCTGTCTGACATGCCTTTTGGAGGAGAAGTGATTAGTGACTCAGACAGTGGAAGTGACAGGGGTCAACAAAGAATTGTGACCACAGATAATAAAAGTGAAACTTGCCTTGTGGCTTATAAATTGTGCCATTTTCAATTCATATTTGGTTTACAAAAATATAAACCCTGATTCAAAACTGAAATACAAGGCATTTCTGATGAATGTTGCAAAGGCTCGGGCTACAGACCAGATGGTGGTGGCAGAACGAGTCAGACAGACTTAGTGCAACCTAGCCCATCAACTCCCACCCCATGCAGGCCTCATGTGGACACCCCTGGGCGACTCTTGGGTGATATGGGGAACATGCCCTCGTGTATATAGTCTTATAAAAACATTTACGTATTGGTGGGTTCCTGATCGTAGTGGTATAGCTCCGATGATGATTCATTAAGAATCGAAACATGTTATGTAACTAAGTGCTGAAGTGGTGAAGGCATTATATGTCACATTGGACTGAAATAAACTTAATTGTAAAATTATGAGAAGAAACATGAATTTCAATCAGTATGCTGAAGCTATACCTACACTCCCAAATTCACCTTTGCAACATGGTGCTTAATTAAGCACAGTGCCAACTTTACCTTTATACTTTACTTATTTTTCAAAAGAATTAAATGATGGCAGCTTCATGAAATTAATTCTCAATGGAATGCTGGGAAGCAGATGTGCTAGAACAGAACAATAACATTTTCATCCTTGGTTTACAATTTCAGCTGAAGTCTAATTGCACAGCTGAAAAGATTTAAGGATTAATATTAAAGCATTACACTCTTTAGTGGTATTTTAAAAAGTCTCAAGTTTATGTTGTGATGCCAAATAAATTGGAACAGAGATATGAATTACACCAACTAAATTTATGTAATCCGAAGTAACATAGGTGAATAATCTCATTTTATTTGTACATGAAGAAAACATTTACTCACCAAAATGGAACTAATGAATTATGTAAATAAATTATCAATAATGAATTGATATTGTAGGAGAAAGTATTACAAAAAATACGAATGGGTAAAGCAAAATCTTTTTTTCCTATGCCATCATGACATGAATGAATATGTTTTCGCCAGTCTAATACCTTGCTATTATACTGTCTACATGTTTTAAATTCTATCAATGTAGTAAACAAATAGTACACACCAGTTCAATGCAGCATGAATATCAGTTATGGCTCTTCTTTCATTTGGGACTTGTCTAAAATTACATATGTGGTTTTTAGTTCATTATGCAATAACTCATGCACACTTCCTCAATCAATTAATTCACTGTTGAGGCCAAATTAAAACTGTGGACAAAAATTCAGCCTCAAACTGCTTTTTATAATACCCAGATTCAGAGCTTGGCATGTATCTTCAATGCATTTAAGTATTTCCAGAGTCAGTGTAACCATATTCAGGCTCTACCCAACTTACGACTCCAATTCATTCCTGAAAATCATATTACAAAACAAATATGGATTTCCCACATGCTTAAAAGTTATAAACTGATGCAGGACCTTCGAAAAAAATATGTGCCATTCTAATTCTATGAATTAATAGTTTAAGAATCAGTGATTATTATAAATTGTATATTAAATATTTTTAGGTTCTGTTACTGAGTGCAGACAAGTCATATTGTACAACTCCACATCAGTCAAAAATTTGCACAAGGCAGTAGACTCAGAGTTCTGAAAAATCGTGAATAATGCATGTAAAAATATTTTGTCTGGAGTATGATATTAGAGGTAAATATGATGTATCAGTGTCTTAACATCATAAGTAGGGAATAACCTATAACAATATAGGAAAACCAACCACTTACCAAACAAAGAGGATTATTATTATTATTATTATTATTATAGAAAGGAATATCCTCTGTATAGCATGAAAGGGATTTTCACTGGGCCTTTGTAAACTAGTGTTCTGAATGTTACATCAGAAAGTTAACACATGTCCCCTTCAAATAATTTGTAAACAGATGCAAGAGGGACCATTAAATTCTGAATCTCTGAAAAATACAGGGTCTTTAATATTTCATAAAGAATATTCTTCACAGATTTGGTTATAAACATATAAAATTCCAACATAATTAAAAAGAAATGTTTACTTATCTTTGTTTCAGTAAGTATAAACATAATTTTTAGGCAATTAGAATTGCAAAAATAAACAAATATTTCTGTTCTAAGTTACTACTGCCCTGTAAACTGAAACTGACAATGATGTGTGTCATCAAATAGGAGACCCTACATGGGAAGCTGTTTGTATTTATTCTCCTGTATTTATACATTTTATCTGCTGAAATTTATTGTTTCCACTTTTAGGAAACATGTTTCCATGTAACTAGAACAGAAAGTGTAACTGGAAGCATCACTCTGGAAAACCAGACATTATGAACATGATAAACTTCTCTTGTACAAAACTTGTTGAAACTTCTTAAAATGTTATTGTAAGTTAAAAATAAAAATTATTTCAACAAGAGTTAAAAACTGCTGCTTGAAAGTTAAATATATATACACTGTTGTAAAAATTATTTGTCAGTAAATATTAACATTCTGAACATAGTAGAAGTTAAACTGACAATGGAGAGTTGACGATTAAGATTCACAAGCTCCCACTTCATAGCTCATGTTGTGTAGACATTAAGATTTCAGATTTTTGATGTGGTTCACAAAATATTTCCTGTCAAGGAGGTTAATCACTCTATGTTTGATTTATCCACTGCTTCCTGACCTGCAAGATGCCACTCTAAATGTAAGGCACAAATTTATAACTTAACACATTACATTCAGTGACCCTCTACTACAAAACTTTGTTCTTTCTGTGCGCATGATGCTGTGGTAAGAACATAGTTTCTCAATCTACAAACTAAATTCACACTTCACTTTGTCCCTTTCACATATGCTTCTGTATTATGAGAAGAAATAAATAAATAAAATTTTCCATTTCATACTGCCAGGTCAACATAAACCACTACTGCCATTTCGAGTCTTCTATCTCATAAATGCACATCACCATGCCACTACTAAATACAAACACACATGTCAACAGTTAAAAACAGGAGTATATGTCATCTGGATTAAAAATATCATGAGTCCTGCCTGTCACAGTAAATGAAGGCCCTGTAAAATATGCATGCAAAACAGCTGTCAAGTGCTAAATTTTGGGCACATATCACTCATCTTCTGATCACTACAAGCACACAACACAAAGAAACTTTTCTGATAATTACGAGACAAGGTGAGATCTGAGAGATGTTCTTATTAACACCAAGAACTTATTGTAACACAAAAGTTGGTCCAATAATCTGAAACATGTCCACGACAACTTTCATGTTAAGTGGAATGGTGGGCAATCACTTACTGGAGAGGCCACAGAAAATATGCTGAGTGTTATTGATACTCCAAATGAGACATCACATTCACAGCTGGTGCTATTGCATGTCTCGAGACAAGTGCCTGGTACTGTCCAATAGTTTTTTCATCACTCTGCCGATCCATTATAACTTCATGTACGGTTCACAGAATACTGATTGGACAGTTCAATTATGTTACTTCAGTGTTGGCAGAAATATACAAAAATAACAATCATCATAGACAGAAGTGGAATACTTGCTGAATTTTGGTGGCCATCTGCACCACTGGCTTCCCTTGGAGGTGCTGAAAAAAAATAGTTATCATTCATTAAAGAAAGCAAATCTACAACAAATATGAATTTACAACTTGTGTTGTTAAAAACTGCAAACTGCTTTTCAGAGTCCTTTGTGCTAAATAAAGTCAATCCTCCATTTAAAGTTTCTCTGGGGAGCTGAAGGAAAATTAACATTCAGATTACTGACATGTGACCAATGAAATTTAACATTAAATCAGGGAAAAATCTTAAATTAGGAATATTAAGTGTAGGTTCCACTGTAAAAAGCTTTTCCGTGCCTTTATTATGGTTATTTTCTTTAGATATTTATTTATATGGTTTCAGCAGCATACGGATACATTTCACATATATCACGAATTGTTGAACACTTTATTTTTTCTAAAACTGTGAATGCAGGAGTTATTTTATGTACAAGTATGTAGTTACACATAAAGTGTCAAAACTGGAGTGCAAACAATGAATTAGTTGACAGCTTTAGTATAACTCATTTATGGGAAATATCACACACAACTAGCACATGCTTGGGAACTGCTTGCTTGTCCAGTGAATTTATATGTCACTTAAATCACCATGCTCTACTACAGGGCATGGCACAGGTCATTTACACTGCATTATACTAATCACTGATTAAAGTGTGGGAACATCCCACATTATCACGCATTTCTGCAACGCTCGCTCTTCACATCACTTTTCACCATCACGCGCGCTAACTAATCAGATTGCTTCAAACGTTCGTATTTATACTTGATCGCTGCTAGCCCGCATCTACGTCATTATGCGTGCCAGCCAATCAATTCTTCCTCCTCAATTTCGAGTTTCACTCCGCCCCACCGAGCAGTGTATAAAAAGGGACAGCTCCAACGCCGAGTATTCAGTTCAATACAGTCGATCATCAGTCTACGAGCTAGCCACATCAAGCAACTTCAGCCAGCAGGCTTCATTGCCAGTGCTTGGTCTTCGGAGGCATCGGCAGGCTGCGCCAGGCACAACTGCCTCGGCGCTCTCACACCCGACTCACTGGGGCACCGTGCCTGGACTCGCCGGTGGTCGTGTTACTGTCCGACCCACTGGGCATCTGGCGTAGCCACTGCCTCATGACTCCTATGACCGCGCTCAACGACTAGCCTTTCACCAGCCATTCACCGTAACCAGCCTCTCTCCTTACCGGCGCGCACCGCGCTACCTCACCGGTCAAGCATCTCAGCAGCCACGGTCCTTTTCAGAGCCAACAAACTGTTCCGAAGAAGTGGGTTGTCATCAGAGTAATGACAAGACTACACATTAAGAGCCCCACAAAAGTTATAAGACACATAAGATATGTGATATAAGTTTTATGATACAGGTCATGTGATCATATGCTTGCTTATTTGTAAGGCACAAATTAATGGAAAAGACTCAGTGTGTGTGAAACAATATGAAAACATATTACAAAATCTAGGCCCCTTACATCCATGTCTTCACACAAATTTTCATTGTATCACTAAATAACACTTCACATAGCCAAACTTTACTGCAAGTTCCCTACAATTGGAGCAGGGCTGCAGTTTCAGATGAAGTACAATCATAGATAAGGAAATTCTATTGCCTCCAGGAACCCACAGAGAATTTATGGATTGCGGTGAAACTGACAGGATGTATAATCAGGCTCAGATGTATAATCTATCTCATCTAAAAGGTTGTCCAGTATACCAATTACATTTTACATGAACTGTCTCATATATTTCCTGGTCAGTGCCTTCATACAAGGCAATACATTTAAAAAATTAATAAATTAGAATCTCCGCCTCTTTCTTCTTTTTCATATCTATTCATTTTACAAATGTGAAATCTGCAACATTCTTACATTCAAAGGGTGGTCATTCTATTGATAACTTTAGCCATTTATAAATACCCTGATTTTCCATAACCAAAGGCATAGGTGACCCACCCCAAATCTAAAAAATTATGAGTTCTTGAATTCTTTGCTGGTTCATAAATTCCATGACCTGTGTGAGATTCATTATCATCTTGTGACTTTTACACATAACTTCTACACATATTCCCACTTCCCTTTCTTGTAAGCAAGATAGAAATTAAATACTGATACAAGTAGAAGAATTTCTTCCTTCTGCATCAAATCCACTATGAAGTGAAGTTCACAATTTCATGAATGAGTACCTAATATTATTCTGTCATCCAAGGAAATTTGACTCTACAAACAAAATCCAATTTTCATTAGGTAGCTTCCCACATTATGTGGGTCCCTTGTCACCACAGTATGGCAAATCCTCAGGTTGCAGATGAAGGAGATGGCAACCAGATATGGAGGGTAGCTGTGAATATATTAAACAAGCTGTCTTGAACAGATGGCAAGGGGTGATCCTCCAACTTGAGGGTTGGGCTTGGGGCTAACTCCTCCTCACCATAAAAAATAAGCTTGTGACAAAATGTCACAGAGAGCCTCAGACCTAGATGGATTCTTTGGATAAATGACCTAAGCTAAGGAAAACTGACATGAGATTTGGTACATGAAATGTAAGGTGTCTGTAAAGGGCAGGTTGGCTCATGACAGTTGCAAAAGAAATATCAATATATGTTAGATTTAGTGGGAGTACAGGTCAGATGGGACAGAAGTGGCACTGAACCAGCAGGTGAATATATATTTTTTATGCAAAGGGGAATGAGAATAATGAATTAGATACAGTTTTCTTTTTCACACATCAAAGAATCATATCAGCAGTTTATAGGGTAGAGTTTGTTAGTGATAGGATGTCATATATAATACTAAGAAAATGAAATTTCAAATAGAAAATCACTTGATTTGGAGTGGATTTTACCCCACGTACAAGATCCTGCGCTTCATTCGAAGTGCAGGATTGTTGAGGGGATAATCGGAAGGGGAGGCACAACAGAGCACTGTGGTGGCAGTGCAAGGGCCAAGAAGGCCCTTATACATACATGCATTCATTCATTCATTGGAGTGGATTGTTTTAACTGATCAATGGATTTCAGTCTGGCCTCCTCTTTCTCTTCGCCAAAGGGCACAAAGCTCCAAATCCACATTTGGAACACATTTTACTGATGAACAAACTGGCTGTTCTTTCTTTCTTCACCTCTGCACCCACCCTGATAAGCATCAGAATTCCATTTGGGCTCTTTAGTGGAAGAAGAGTCTATGTCCAGTTTAACAAGCAGTCTTGATAGTTCAGTCAGTAATGAGACTGCTGGGTCAACATGTGGACTTCTGAGATTATGCCAACACTAGTGCCATCTAATCTAAGATCTGAAATTTTGTGAGAGAGATACTTCTCTCCAGGACATAAAGCAGTTGGAGCATGAAGCTAAGTCCTCTCAATCCATTGCTGAGATTAAAAATGGGTGCAGTATTACTTAGGTGTCCTCTATATACCTTCATGACATATATGGATAAATACCGTCTTAAGTGCAACAAATTTTATTGTAGTTTTTTACTTCTTTTCCTCCTCCACACTACATGTTTCGGCTCTAAATGGCCATCATCAGGTGTGTATCACTCACGTAGCTGTTACACTGCTTGTTAAAATTTAAAATTACCAGTCTTTCTAATTGTATAAAATCTTTGTTAATCTACACGCGTCGATTTGATTTTTAAATTAGCACTTTTTAAACTTAATTCAAGTTAAAATGTCTATAAGATCTCTGTTCTTTCTTTTTCAAATTTTTAGTTAAAATTTTTT